TGGATGTAGATTTACGACAAATTCACTGCTTAATCAAACATTTGAGTCTTATAATGGATTATTTGGGATGGATTCAGCAAAAATAAGTATGGCTTCATAAATATTAGCTCCACTTACAAAATGTTGAATGAAATAAGACTTAAATTACCAAATGAACTTTCCTAACTTCCACCCTTTTGGTATTTCTCTTCATTAGTTTATCATGGTACATATTAGGGATTTGGCAGTCATATTTATGGACAAAACCTCCAATAAATTTGCTACAATAATTATATTAAAATATCTCAAAATCAAACAATTAAATCACATTACTTTTCTCTAACCTACAAAATAAGGATATTACACTTTCACTGTATGTAGACTTACGACAAATTCACTGCTTAATCAAACATTTGAGTCTTATAATGGATTATTTGGGATGGATTCAGCAAAAATAAGTATGGCTTCATAAATATTAGCTCCACTTACAAAATGTTGAATGAAATAAGACTTTTAAATTACCAAATGAACTTTCCTCTCTTCCACCCTTTTGGTATTTCTCTTCATTAGTTTATCATGGTACATATTAGCTATTAGCAATGCAGGTGCTCTGGAGTTCCAAATGCTTTAATTAACTTCTGGCATTTCCTTGATACTCGCTTATAAAGAAATTTTTTGGCATATTTTTATGAGGAAGTATTCATGCATGAATGCTGTGCTTGTGTGCATGCACACACTCATGCAGTTGCATGCATGTGTGTATTCAAATTTTACGCAGTTGTTGTGCAGCTTGTATTGTTCTAGGCTTAGTTATTTTCCAAAGGTTTGTTGTTTTATTTTAAAACTTATAATGGAGAATGTACTAGGCAGGCTACGATATGTCTAACATCTCACTAGCATTTTCAAACTATGGTGACTTTAAATTTGATGAGAACCATCACCTAAAACAATGAAATGGGCTTATGATTAGAAACCCTTTTTTTCCCAAAAGGATGGAAATATTTCTCGTATCTTCATTAAGTAGGCCCGAAGCCAATTCATTTATAAGATGAGTGATATATTAAATCTATGTAATTCTAAATAAATTCATCATGCCTGCATCCACTGAGATTGATGCCTGAGAATTGTAGATTAGAATTCCAGCATTATACCACTTGAGCTTAGGCCCTTTGATAAAAATAATTAAAAGGAGGCTCATGATTAGGAGCTGTCTTCAGAGACATAATGTCTTCTAGGTTTTGTGCGCGGTAGTGGCTTTATTGGCACATAATGTTGGTGCTCTAGCCATTGGTCATTTGTTGAAGGTTGTTTTGCTCTATGCATTTGTTTTTTCCTTTGCAAGTTGAGTAACCCGTGACCAGACATGAATTTAGTGTTCTAGAGAGGATTGATGAAATGATTAATTTATTTCTTCTAGCCTTGTATTGTAATATATTACATAGAGCTCTTGGAGTTTTCAATGAAACTTTTGTCCTATTGTTATGATTATTTTAAATTATGTATCTCTTCACTTTTCATATATTGATGTTGATTTTTATGTACAATCTTTTATGGTTATTTCTTTTGTACCATGTTCTTGTTTAGCTACTAGGTTCGTATTATATTATTTTTTTGTGAAAAGTTGCAATCATTCTTTATTTTTTTCAAGAAGTTACTTTTTATGTTTTGTGCATATTAATAACGTACCTAATTGCAGGAAAACTCTACTTTGAATTATGTTAGTTTTTTTTAATCAGATGATTGTAGCCCTATAGGATAATCAATTGTTTTCCTCTATGCTAGAAAAGCCAATTGGTAGTATCGATAACTGGTGCTACTGGGTTTATTGGCCGAAGATTGGTCCAAAAGTTAATTGCAGGTTTCCATCAAACTCTACCCACTAAAGATTACAATCATCATTATTGATATCATGGAATTTTTATTTAAATAGATATATTCTGAGTTTGTGCATTTATATTGATAATTTTGAGATGAGCTCCTACCAGGATAGCTCTTGTTAGTTTAGAATTGGCAAAAATATTCTTGTGAACTACATTTCTTTTTGTGTACTTGTGTGACATAACCCTTAGAAAAAACCTTTCTTCAGTATTTAACAAAGGACAATTTGATTATAGCATTATATGATTCTTGTAGTGACCTTAAGTTGACTTGTGTTAAGAAAAGCAGTGATAAATCTAGAAAGACTTACGCATATTGTATAAAAAATGATCTTAATCAAATTAAATGAAAATATGACACTCCATAGAAAGTAATGGAGAAAAAGGATTCATGTACCTGACCTCATTTAGTGGGATAAAGGTTTGCAGATCTTAATTTATTCAAATTAAATGAAAATATGACACTCAATAGAAAGTAATGGAGAAAAAGGATTCATGTAGCTGACCTCATTTAGTGGGATAAAGGTTTGCTGTTGTTGTTGTAGTGACCTTAAGTCCTTTTTCTTGCTTCTTTTATCATGTATTATTCCAAGTATTGAGACAAAAAGCCTACGTCTAATGCATAATTGCACAAAAACCCAAGCAAGCAAAGAACAAGGGACATCAATATTTACATAATCCTGCTTAAACAAAGCTTATGTTTGGATAGAGTCGGATGTACCATAAAAATGCCACAAAGCAGTTTATAAAAATACAATGATATTTACTAGTCCTTTCCAACACATATAAGTACACCGATTCTCAATAAAAAAAGAAGCTTTAAGAACTTAATAGTTTTACATTATAAAGGTCTTCTCGTAAGGAGAGAACTACTAGTGTTGATGGTATGTCTAAATCATCAATCTCCAAGAAACCCTAGCCATTGAGAAGGTATAACAATTGAGTATCTCAATCTTTCAATCTTGCAGTCACATAATTGCCTTTAATAACCTAGGCAACCAAGAATTTACTTGATACCCTACTTACCTCCAATTACATTCAATTCTACGTATATAATGTAAATCAATACTAAATTGTATGGAAACCAAGAATCCTTTATTTTCATGATTACCATTCCTAGATTCCAAATATCGATCTTGAGAGAAATCTCATGCGTTTATCCCCAAAAAATCTGGATCTTGGCCTCCTATGCCTGCAATTTGAGGTGGGTTTGATCTTAATAGTTCGATCATTCAACCTAATAAAGGACTATTCTTGGTATATTAGGTTGCTTTCTGCAACTCTCCTTTAGGTTAGTTGCAATGGGAGTTATGCCAAACAATACAATGCTGAGTTAATATTAAATAATTCTTCCCTTGCATTTAAGGCTTTCAAAGTCTCTAAGGGCTGAGCACTATTCTTTTTTAATATGTTTAAATGTCGCTTTAACAAAATACCCATTAATGACCTCTAAAGCACAATTGTTGCATGTTGAGGTTGATTTATTGAAAGTTATAGTGCATTTACTTCTTAATTTTGTACCTTTAAAGAAATTGTCTTCTTGCCATAAACGTTACAATGGTATTAGCTGACATTGGAGTGAATTGTGCAATATAAGAACGGTCCAACTGATCATCCTCTCGAGTCTTTTCATAATCATGTGCCTTATTTTGTTTTAAAATTGTTCCGAAGCTAGTAACCTCTTTTTTGCTTCCACAAAATGTGATGTTCTAACACAGATGAAGATAGAACTGATGCAACTATAGGCATATTTGTTTTGTTGAACAAATATATTCCTCCAACTATAATGGCCTTGATGACGACCAATGCATTTTGCAAACCTTAAGTACATAAGCATCACTTGAAAATTTATTTCGGCATCATGGAGAGTCCTTAAAGATGTTAGCCTGTTCCTTAAAATCATATAGATATCATGCCTTTCCAGCTTCACCATTCTACATTGTCAATTGATAGTGCTAAAATAGTTAATCTTATGCTAATTATTTTTTTCCCCATATAAATTACGTAAGTGAAAATCATTACATTATGATCTTCATATTATATAAACATGACAAGTCAAGAATCCATTGATCGTAAATTTTAGTTCTGTTTTCATTTAATGAACATTTCCGGAACTTTTATGTAAAATTATTTTAGCATTGAATGACTTGGCCTCATGGTTATCTCTGGCCCGCTATTTCTCCTCTTCCATGCATGAAAATCCATCTTTATTTTCCCTATAACTTCATATGACAAAAATGTTGTTTCTTTCAATAGATATCCTTTATCATAACTAGAGGCAAACTGGTTTTCAAATATTTTCCTTCCTAACAAGTGACCTCTCATCCTGCCTTTCTTCTTCAACACCCTCAAATTTAGAAATTATATCCTTTGAAAGAAATAGATTCTTCACATCCTTTATGTTAATTATAACTTTCCTATATATCATGATGCCATGAAAATAAGTATGAAACGGTAACTAGACATTAATAATAAGCCTCATCTTCATTACTAGTAGTCACATGAGTTTTTCCAAAATCACTTATAATATAACTAAATTGATTAATGGTATGTTTGGTTGCAGGTAATACTAGTATAAAGTAAACTAAATGCAAGACTTTTGATATTTGATGTTTGGTTGAGAAAAAAAATTAAAAGTGAAGTAAAATGGTAATGTATGTGGAATAACCTATGGAGTTAATTTTCAACTCATTTGGAATTCATTCAATTTGAGCAATTTTTAAGTACATCACTTTTGTAAAGCGTCGTTGGTTGCTGCTGACCGCCACTCACCATTGACCTTTACAGCCACTCATCATCTCCATATGCCGTTCACTTACCTGCTGC